TTTTGGCAGGTACTGTATGAAAAAGTATGTTTAATGAACAAGAGTCGAGAGTATAATGAGTTTTTTCTCCCTACCTACAATTGTGCCAGCGCGCATCCAATACATTCGAATGGGGCACATCGCTAGAGAAAGTAAATTAACTATACCACTAACTATATCTCGCCTATAGAGTCCTCTGTTCTCCTATTCTTTCTAATACCTCTTCATTTCTTCTCTTCTCTATTCACGGTATCCTTATCATTCGCCGGTAACACCACATTTCGAACGCTCCTAACCTTTTCTTTTCCGAAGATAACATTAAGCAATTATAAACAGGAATTATTTATTTCATCATTATTTGAATTGTACAGTATATGTACTCATTTATTACCAAAAACAAATTGTGGGAATCGACCTACACACAATTAGGTCCAGTTTGTCTGTTATTGTTTATGGACCAATTTATCAGAAGGCCACCCAGACGTGTAACAACTATATTATGGCCCACAAGAGCAGTTAGTTTTCTTTGAATTTTATTGCACTTAATCTCCATCTATTTTAAGCCATCATATCATTAAGGTAAAATTATAAACTACTTTATTGTTCGACAGAGGCGATAAATCTTTCCAAATTTACAATCAACCAATTTAATAATATGGCTTGTTGTGGACTAGTTCACCATTATCTTACTTATAATATTTACCTACACAACACAATAAATTAAATGGAAATGCATATCGTAATTAATTTACTAAATGGTGCAATTTATTTAGGAATAAAATTTAGTAGTAAACAGAATTATTATCGAATTCAAATACGAAACATTTATTTATTGTTACCCAATTGCTTATAGATTTTGGAAAATGCTTTCGTCAAGATACATTTACTTACTTCAACACAAAATATTTCATAAATATCATAAAGCCAAACAATTTTAATTATTCTATGAGCCAGTTCCTCAAATGTTTTTTGGTTCACCGTATGATAAATATCAATGAGAATTTTCCTTATGAAAAATTCCATGCTACATTTACTCAATTATTTATAATGGTACAATCAATTGGTTATCTAATCTCTTTTCTCTTAAAATTCATCATCGTTTTCATATCCAAAACAAATTCTAGCGAATTGCGTATGATATATGTACAGTTTACACATTCGTTAATCAGTGTATCACTAAACAAAGTTATTCATATTGTAATCAAAATCTTGGTATACACCAATGGATTTTCTATTGCAGTTCTCATGCAATCATAAAAAGGTCGGCAAAATTTTTTGAAAGATCCGACATGATACAGGAAATTTGAACAAATACCTTCACTCATTTTTTCATATAAATAATAAAGTAATATACATAAGTTTAACAATGTTCGGTGGACGTTTCGCCTTACCTGTATATGTAAATTGTTATTATCGTAGGTTTCTTTATATTCTTCAAATTAGTAAAATTCTAAACTGAAAAAATTTTGTTCTAGTTATTGGTTTTTGAAAATACAGGAACATTAATTATTTTATTGAGGCGACTAATAAAATAATTCTATATACTCATATAATTTTTATAAGAAACCAAGTTTGAATGTAGGTTCGTAAAAGAATNCAGACATAATTCTTTTGGGCATTTTGTAGATAAAGAATAAAGTCAGTTCTGTATTTATAATATTAGAGGTAGTTTAAGTGTAAATCAAAAACCAAATGTAAATATTGAAAAAATTAATTGAATTAATCATTGACATTTTTTATATCAGTTACTTCCTTCTTATTAAATAAAAAATGTTTGATGTACTTAGTTTTTTCTTTACTTATAATCAATACTCCTGATGAGGTACTAGAGTAGGTACTCAATAGTATGTCGCATGCACATTTGTTTCTATATATAAAGGTTTAGTTTGTTCACGGTACACAGTGATCTAGCTGTTTACATAATGGGGTAGTACACACAGCATTACAAGTTATAAGAAAGAGACATACAGACAAAAGTCTAGCTATACGTTTTTGTTTTCCCTTTTGGATATGGGCCCAAGAAATGGTAAATGAGGAATAGTTTACAAATTAAATATATATTTATTAATTTGTCTCGTTTGTTATTCAGCAGTATAAAAAGTTATTTAGTTTTCATTTTTTTCTTTTTCTTTCCAATACTATTAATGCCCTTTTTACGTTTCGCTTGTAATTCCTCGTGATTAACCTTAGGGCAGTCCCTTTTCTTGTGACCCTTTTCTTTGCAGTGAAAACATTCCTAAAATTGTATTTTCTTTTTACCTGTTTCTTAATTTGTATTACAGAAGAAAGCCTTATTCACCTGTGAAAATTCAATATCTCCGCATTTATGATCGGGCTGTGCGCATCTATTACATTTTTCACAATGTTTCCAACTTGGTTTAACGCATCTATCGCAAGAATCGCAATGTTTGTATGTCCTCCCATCTTTTGATGTGCAAGAATTACACTTATTACAATGATTATTTTCAGATGAAATCCATCTTTTACAAACTTTACAGTATTTGTACCCTTCGTCTTTTGGTAACTCAATACAACTACAAAAAAATCTTATTCAAAACGTACTTATCCAAATATACCTTTAAATTAAATTTAATTAAAGGCTTTATGTGTGCTATAAAAGAAATAATTCAAGTACAACTTCTTTAGTAAAAAATACGAATTGAATAATATGTAGTTAGGCTGATGAAAACACTGTGGGTAAAATGATATAAAATGAAAAAACTGTTCCTTTATACCTAGGGTCAATATTGGTAAATATTCGTACTGGTGACCCATATTTTCGCCCCTTGTTTCCATGTTGAAATAAACTGTGATTGTCATAATAAGAGTTAATTATCACACCTAAAGTCTATTTAAAAAAAATATTTTCAGGACGATAAGTATGACTTACCTACTAGTAAAAGTAAGTACTATTTGATTCCCAACACCATTCTTCAATTATCTTATCAATGAAAAATTATTGTGACAGCTAATTTAATCGTTCTGATAACCGTATGAGTAAATGGAAATAGAAATGGAGAAAAAAATGAGAATAATAAATTTAACATACCAGCTGTCTCTGAGAGAAGTTGTGGTATCGCTCGTTTTATGCAAGGCTACGCTAAATCCAAAATAAGAATCTGTAGGACCCCGTTTTAAAATTGGCTGTCTGTCTTCCAAATTAAAACACAAAACACAGGCAGTCGTTAAGGACAATATCAGTACACATTTTTTCCTATACATTTTGATTTCGATAAAAGTATTGATATTATAGCATAGTAGCTTTCTTTCGTATTGGCAAAACAAAGAACACTTAACGCGTTTTATTAATTTCAAAAAACAATTGTGTAACTAATTGAAGTGTTCGAATGTATGTCATCAAGTGTCTTTTCTTTTAACCGGTAAAAAACGTGAATGTATTCTATTTTTTATTATACACGTGATTCAATAATTCATTCTTGTTCGTACATCCTAAACTCGCGCCTTACAAACACACAAGATCCTCCGAATACATACCACAACTGAATAAACCGCGTGCTTTAGCAAAACATACACGACTTGTGGATATTCTAAAAGTCCGAGAAGTACATAACAACTCAAACAAGTTTCCCGACTAAAAGACACGAAGGTTGACGATCTACTGCAACAATTACAGAACATTTTGCTGCTCCACCATAGGCAACCTACATTACTGCTGATGTATACAGATTATCTAACTTTAATTTTTCTTTTTTAAAAATTA